AGTGGGAGCACATGGTCCTGGAAGAGTGAACGACATATCAATTACTGTCAGTCTCTCTTTATGAATGAAACTCGAATTAGTATTTGACAAGAATAAACATTTACATTTAATGTCCAGGTAAAGCAAAAACAGTGATTTGTTTCTAAACACATTATAAATATTAGAAAATATTTTTTGAAAACATTAAAACACTTAGAAGTATGTAGTGCTGAGTTAGACTGTTAAACTGTTATTCATTTTCTGAGTTCAGGATTTTTCTGGTCGGGCAGAACTCATTGCTCGATGACACATTGGAGCCATCTTTTGACCTAACACCTTCCCAACACTCTGTTCTAAAACAGTAGAGCACACAGATTTATGTGCTTACATTTGTTTTAAGGCCACTCATGAGACTACGAGCACAGATGAAAATTTACAGTCGCAGTTATGTTTTTTTAAAGAAATAACATTTATGCCACTGCCACATTATTAAACAGTGACAAAAGTAATAACACATGAACAGTGAAGGTGGTGGAGCAGATCTGAACCAACAGTAGTTGTTGGAGGAAAGAGATGTGAGGGAGAAAATGGCCATACAGTGGATCGTGCAGCTGCTGCATTGGACAAAACACCACTGTTAGCCATTAGCCTAAAAAGCTCCTAGCTTGAATTATTTTCGCTCTGCAATTCTATACTTGTTTAGCAGGTGCTTACTTTAATTACTCCCACTGGCTTTTTACCCACGAAGATTTTATTGCATGTACAGTAACGAACATAGGTATTGTGAACTTTAGTTTGACTTTCACTTCTCCTGGGCTTCCTGTCTCCACTGTGGTGAAAGCAGCTGTCTGCTCCCTGTCTGTGCAGGAGATGAACACCACCGGTGGTCATTCAAACACCAACACTGAGAGGAGAACCCACTCCATACCACCAAAACCACATTTTCCAATCCACTAATCTCAATCAGTGGTTTCTGATCAAATGCTCCTGCAGAGCCCTAGCGCTCCTGTTTGCTTGTGCTTTCACCCTGCAAATGCACCTTTGCTACATGTTCTCCCTTAATACATCCATGATGAGAATAGGCAACACAGTGTCTTCACTTGATACGCCCCAGCATTTCAGAGCAGAGAATACTCATTAGTTTTTCATGATTTTGAATGCTAATTTTAAATACTTGCTGATATTTTTAATCTTTCAAATTTGTCTGGATGATTAATACATTTTCCCGTGGTGTGACAAACTCAGAAAACACAATGATTTCTACTTTACCCAGACTTTAGGTCATTTTTACCAGAAATCTCTTAACTTAGACACCCATGAAATAAATCAAACAAAATATTCTTAATAAACACGTTATCCTTTTTTCATCAGTAACTTTATTACCTGCTTGAACAGTCTGTAGTGGGGTACTTGGTCCACTGCAGTTCTCAGAGCAAGCTATGTAAGAAACATTGTAAGTCTGTCCACACTGAAGGCCACTCAGACTACAGTTGGTACTATTACTTTCACAGGTTAGCGAACCCATGTTTCCAGCCAGTGGCACAGCAGTGATATGGTAGTTAAGGGCCACAGCAGAAGAAATCCAGCTGACCGTTAAGATATTGGAGCCACATGTCAGGTTACTACTGATGTTCTGTGGAGGGCATGGAACTAACAGAGACAAAACAAATAAGTCTGAAACTGGCAGGTAAGTTTTGTTCACTTTCACCTAACATGAAGATTTAGATACAGCTAGAAAAATCCATACACTGTCAATTCTTTAAGTCTGGTTGAATTCATTGTAGAGCTGCTGTTAGACTGGATGGTGTTACATCTGGACAAAACTAAGCTAGCTATTTCTCTCACCTCCTGTTTTATGCAAAGCTAACATAACTGATTCCTGGCTAATGGTCTGCTAGCACCATATTAGAGTCATGGGAGTATCAGTGTTTTCATCCATCAGCAATAAATTGATTTAGCTTTTCCACCACAATGAACTATTCCTTTAACACAGTAATTTTTAGACTATTATAATTACTCTTGATATTTGTAGAGGTACATAAATTCAAAGACAGTGCAGAGTGACAACAGCTTCAGACATAATCACAAAAGTTGTCACTTTCGGTGTAGAATTTGTAATAGCTCATAAACAGCTGGGAGCTCAATCTTCACACTAACTGACACTGTTGACACTTTACATGTTCATCATCATTGTTGCCTTTTGGCTAAGGTTTCTAAGATGAACAACTAATTTGTCTTTTAAAACAGTTGATCAGGACCATGAACAGCTGATCCCCTTCACTACCTTGGTTCTGTATGAACGGGACACTGTAGCTGCTGACACAGTTGCCGTCAGCGGCAGGCCCCACTAAA